AATTTGAAATTTTTTTGTTTATAATAAAAATCCTCTGCTGTATAATATATCTAGTTCTTTTAATTATTGTGATACAGTACTTAATATTCTGTAGTGCGAGATAACTAATTAGTAAAATATATGCCAGAATATTACATTGATAAAGCTAAGTACACTTCTAAATAAAAGTCTTTATTTATTTAAAATTTTCATGAAAATATTTAACAATTACAAAAATAAATTATTATAACATTTAGAATTAAAGAAATAATTAGAACAGTATTAATAAATAGTAGTCTTAATAAGCAAATACATTTACTATAGCTCACTAAGCTTAATGTGAAAACCTATTAATGAAGAGACTTGTGAATTTTAATCCCTATTTTAAGATAATTAATATACAAATATGTCAATTAATAGTAAACTTTTATAAAACTTCAATTGTAGATTTGAATTGTACTAACAATGACCTTATAACTACCTAAGTTAAAATAAAAGAATTTGGAAGTTCCAATTTTTTACAAGCTTGGATTTCTATTTTGAATTATTAATGAAGAATTACTGATAAGTAAAAATCTTTATGTAAATATAAATTAAATTTATTAATAAATAGACTTTATACTCACTGAAATTTATGCAAAATAACTTTTTATAAATTTTAATTTTTGCTTAAAAGTTGGTGTTAATTAATAATAATCTATAAAGCTTGCAACTCAAATTAGGTCTTATATCATCAAAAATAATATAGAAAAATGTATTAGAAAGCATTATTTTCTTATTAATAAAATGAAGTATTAATTCTTGCTTTTAACACTACTTATAGTAACATGAATCTTATTTTAGAATTTGCTGTTTAGCACTACATCCAGTACCTAGAATCTTATTCAGAGCCTTTATTTTTAAAAATTGATTAGTACCTAGAGTACTTTGTATAGAACTGAGTACTATATTTGAAGGACTACATATGAAAAAAACTGAGTTAATATAGTTATATTATTAGATTATATTTAATAAACAGCTAGCATAATAGTAAGTAATATCTGAACCTTAATTACAGAGTATTATTTTGAGAGAATACTTTATACAGTAGTAACTCTATTTTTAATTATTTCTATTCTAGATTCATTAGTAGAAAATTTGGAACTACAAGTCAGTTTTTTTTTTAGTATGTTTTAGAGCTCAAATATAGTGTACTGATTTAAAAACTTACATAATATTGTTATATCTAGATTACTCCCCATCACATTGACATTAGTGCACTAATATATATATTAACTGACTGATAAATTGCAGAAAGGTTAGCTAAAAAAAATAAAATAAAAAATAAATAAAAAATAAAATAAAAAAATAAAACAAGGTGACTTAACTCTACTAATTTACTAAATTTAATATCTTTTAATCGATATATTAAAACTACTTTAAACTAATTGGAACTCTCAAATTTGGATTTAAATATAATCATATTTAAAATCCAACCCTTATATTAAATCTGATTTAGAATAGACATTTGAACAAAGAAAAAAAAAAACAAATAAACACAAAAGAGATATGTCAAAGTTGGATCAATTTTCATTGGCTCTACTGTCAAAGTTTTTTTATTAATCTAAATCTTATTTGAGCAAATTTAGGAATTATGTTCTTTTTTATGACAAACACTACATTGTTTTTGTGTTCATTTGTGATTTTGAAAGTCAATTGGTTAGGTAGATAATGAAATCATCTCTATAGAATTATTTAATTTGTCTAAAAAGTGAAGCATGTAAGAAATAATATATTGGATATGATTCTTTTTGAAATGCTTATTATTGGACAATAAATAAAACTAAACAATACTAAATTTTTCTGTATCTGACATATCTCGAATACTTTCATGACTTGTAGACATGGTTGATATTTCTTTATAACCTAAATTAACAAATGCTTTAGTAATAAGTAGGCATATTAAATAAAAAACACTTATATTTCATATACTTATATTCACTATATGATCATAATAGCATATTGGTTAGAAGTATATATGAAAAGTCAAAAAAAATTTTACTGTTAAATTTTGTGTACCAAATTGGCAAATGTTAATCATGTAATATTGTTAGTATCAGATACATATCATTTCATCGACAATCGCTTTTCCGAACACTCCATCACACAGAGCGATGGTTAATATTTAATGATTGTTTGATGATTAATAATTATTGTTCAATATTACTTATTACGCTATGTGATAGGGTGTTCAGTAAAGTGATCATCGATGAAATGATACGTATCTGTTAGTATCTAATAGTTTTAGATACTAAATATTTCAAAATTAACTAATAAATTATTGCACATGCAAGTTTCTTTATCAAAAATATACCTTTTAATTTTTTCTTTTCTTTACAAGTTTTACTATTATAGCTTTTTTTATTATATAACTTGTATTTGTAACATGTTTTTATATTAGACTTTTCAAAAGCATTTGTAATTCTTTTTGATTTTAGATGACCTTTGGGTCTTTTCTTAACAGAATTTCGAATACCTATCATACAACCATTATTGTTAATCTTATAGCTAAATTTACTAATATTACTAATATTACTAATAACTCTTTGCAGAAATGTTCTGTTCTGAATTGATGTAAAAAAACCAAGAAGTTTATGATAAATATCTTTATTGCTATTCTCAATTGCATTGATCATTATTTTTCTTTCTAATCTTCAAAGTTTATCAGACTTGCACTTTTTTAAAATAGCCTTAGATATTTTATCAAGTAACTGATTTGAAACATAGTTAGCAAATTCTTCAGCTTTATTAACATCAAATTCATTATACAAAAATTGTGTTGACAAAATGTGTACTTTTGATATTGATGTAAATGTGTTCAAAAAAATAACTATGAATTTATTATTTATTATATTAGTCTCTTGTAATATATTTTTGTATCAGCATCTATTGACTAAATCGATATAAAACTTTGCATTAAAAGTTAAGGTCATAATATAATAAAAGTGGCAATATGGATATTCATGAGATTTTTTAAGCATACAGGTGCAAAGAAAGGTACTATTGTTTAAAAGAAGTACAAAATGAAAAGTGCCAGAACTTAATAAGTGCATAACTTCCCAGGATTCAAGAATTATTAAATGATCATTTAGAAATAATTTCAGTTGTATTTGTGGGCAGTCAAACAAATTATCAATACATTGTTTAGATTCATCAACTTCCTAAAATAATAACTGATTAAAAATGATGATAATTAGTAATAATATAGAAAAATATTTAGAGCTTATGTCTATAATTGTTATAAACAGTTATATCATAAATTTTTAAAAAAGTAACATAGACATTATTTCAAATTTTGGCCTAAATTAGAGCTATAATTTGAAATAATGCCAATGCTTACTATTTTAAGAATTTACAGTAGTAATTATTTATATAATTATAATACTAGCTATAAAAGTCTTACCCTCTTATTAAGAAATATTGTTTCAAGGTCAATATTTGTAGCATGTTAATAAAAACTCAAATTCATTTTCTTCTTTTATTTTTTTATTATGCTTAGCATCACAAACTTATTTAACTGTCATACTACTGGTTCAAAAATAGGTTTGCTCCATTTTTTTGTCCTATTTATGAAATAGTTTGTTTCCAACTTACAAACTTACAATAATCAATTTTTTCTTGATATCTTTCTTCTAAGGCCTTAAACAACTTATATAATGAAAGACTTAAACTTCTAAAAAGGCAGTTTAATGTTGAGTTCCCACCTTTATTTCAGGAAGTTAATTGTACACTAGCAGTGAAATATTTACTAGTAAATGTATAAGCCTATAATTTAGTACAATAGCCTAAAGATCTCATTAAATAATCACTAGATTGTAGATAATTCTGTAGTAATTTCTTCTATTTTTGAATAAATAAAAATAGTTAGAATACTCATAATTAAAGATGTGAATGCAATATTATAATTGGTCATAATTATCATGAATTATAGCAAAAAATGCTATAATTTATTATAATTACAACTAATTATAGTATTATGCTCACATTTTTGCTTATAGCACAAAGTTTACAGAGTAACAATACTATTACTACTTATTGTTTATTAAATTTTTTCTTTGTTAAATGTTTCTCATAATATAAAAATCCTTAATAAATTATCATAATAAGAACTCATTATTTCTTTTAAATTTTTTGGTAAATTTTGGCTTATATGCCAAATTCAATGTATATGAAATATATTAAAAAATTGTACTGCAACAGCACTATTGACTGCTAGGTTACTATCTGTTACAAAGACTTTTGGTGCAAATCCAGTTGCGTTTACAACACATTTAATGACCTATGCATAGAAGAATTGTGTTTCATCATCAACAATAGTTTGGGCCACAATCTGTGTTTTTAAATTATGTCAGATGTAACAAAAATAGACAATAGATAACTATATTAATTAGTTTTATATGTATTATCATGCATTATTATATCTTAATAGCATAACTATAAAATTTGTTGCTCTGGGCTTATCCAAATGAGATGAATTAAAGAAGAAGTGACTGGGTCAAATTTCATTAAAACAAACCAGTGAGGGTCTTCAATTTTCTTTTTATTAAGTCTTTTTAACAACGTTCTTGCATCATCTTCACCTGGATCAGAATCATGCCAAAACATCTAAATTGTTTTATACAGATCTGGTCAATATATTCTAATATTATATTTTTCTCAAATTATTCTATATTGCATAGTTGCATCTGCCTTTGCAACTGTTGTCAAAAAAAAATTTCTTCAATAATCTTTTTTGGTAATTTACGTAATGTTGGATCAAACTGGCTTGCTAGTAGGTTAAGTTCATAACTAATATGCTAATTATTAAAAGTCATTACTTTAATACACTTTTTATCATTTTTGAACTAAAAATTAACTTTCTATAGGCACTCTACTTAGCAAGACACTTCACTTGATTTTGCTGGCTTTCTAGCATATTAACATATATATGTTTATTTTATTGTTTCTTTTGTTATCATATTTATTCTTTTGCCACCACCAATTCATATTCTATGGCCTTTACTAATAGCATATTTCCTTTTAAAATTCATTACTTGATTCCAGTTGTTAAAGGTTTTGCCAACAGAAACTTCTTCAATATTACCAAAACTGAATCAAAAATATTAATAAGAAAAAAAATATAATAGTAAAATAAAATATAAAGCACCTTATTACTTACTTGTCGATGTCAATATCAGAGAAATCATCTATACTATCATATGCTGCTAACACTTCAAGTTCTACAACTTGATTGTTCAATGCCTCAGGTTCTATATTTTAATTGTCTAGTACTTCAAGTTCTATGTTTTGATTGTTTAATACTTCAGGTTCTATTTTTGAGTATTCAAAACTTCAAATTCTTTATTTCAATTGTTAAAATTATTTATATTTAATCTTTTTATTATTAAAAGTAATACTATTAGCTAAAATGTGTGAAATAAATTTTTTTTTATTTTTCACTTTGTCTACTGTTTAAGATTTTTGTTCTTTTGCTTGTTTTTACTTTTTACTTGTTTTTTTTTTGGTTTACTTTTTTTGTTTTATTGCATAGTAGAAAGTTTATCAAGATAAAAATACTTTTAGAATGCAATTAAAAACATATCTGTTTGGTAGCATAATTATGAATAATACATTAAGCAACAAATAAGTTATTAATTAATAATAAAAATAACTCCAATCTATAATTTTATCATATGTCCAAATTGCATAGTACACTTTTTTAAATCCTTCTTTAGCTAAAAATTCAACATTCTCTAAATTATAAAAATTGGTTTACTTAATAATATAATATAATACTAGGCTTTCTTGTTGGCATATTTGACTAAATCTGTCTAGCTTTTATATATAAATGATAGATTAATTTTTAATAATAATAACATTACGAAAAAGAAGTAAAAATATTTTTTAATTTTGTCAAACAGAGACTGTCAATGTTACATATATATTAAAACTAGAGAGAGATTATACTATATTCATCACAATTGAATCTAATATAAATAATTTAATTTGCAATTGATCACAGACAAGAGAGATTCATTTTGAATCAGGCACTATCTTTGCTGTAATTTTGTCATACATATTTTGAACATGCATATAAAACTTGCAATAATTAGTTAACCTTAAAAAGGTCATATAAAGATGGGTTGCTAATAAATTTTTGTCTTTTATTAAATAAACTAAGCTTAATTATTAAGTAAAATTTGTTTAGTATAAAAAAATATATATTTTGAAATTTTTAAATTTTTTAAAAAATATTCATAAAATTATTAAAATAATAAAAATTATTATATTTAGCAATTTGTTAATTTTAAATTTAATAATTTAGCTTTTATATTTAGTAATAATATTTAGTTTAAAATTTTTTAAAAATTTTTAAAAATTTAAAATTATATGTAATTTATTATACTAAACAAATTTTACTTAATAATCAAATTTAGTTTACTTAATAAAAAATTAAATTATTTTATAAAAACTTTATCTAACCAAATTTGTACAATTACTATTTTTGTACAAATATAACATTACACAATTTTGTATAAAATTAACTATTTCAACAACTACTGTATTGAATTTTATAGATTTTTTTTTATTTAAAAGCCCTAGATTTAGACAATTTTTTATATAATTTTGAACTTGATATCTTGTTTATTTAACTTAATATAAATTTTTAAAAAGTGTTCATAATAATAAGTACTTTACTGTATTATAAGAATATCTTAAAGCATCACTCATCCAAATTTTTGATATTCATTAGTATCCTTAGAATTACTTTATTCTTAATAAAAAACTTACTAAAGACTGTTATGTCCTATATATAACTAACCTAATTTTATACAATATGCTTTAGTTATTTAATATATGCAGTTACAGAGGTTACTTGTTTAACTACTATATTATACTATTTTTACTCTTGTAAAGTTTACTAGAACTTAGTACCCATTTTTCTGATATCTTTTCTATTATCTTTTACTAACTATAGCTTAAAGCTGATAGACTTTGGCTAGACTATTAATTCAAATAATTTGATATAATATATTTCTATATTCTTTTCCTCTAACAAGTCTAATATTCTGGTTAGTTATATGCTTTTCTATACATATTTGGCATTTAGTTTATTTGATCTGTTCTTATGAAAGTAGTTTATAAGCTTTAACCAGTCTAATGATATTATTAAAAGTTCATGCTACCTCTTTATTTAGAAATTTCTAATTAGTTTTCTGTTAATTCAGTTTTTTAGCTTTTAATATTTAGTAATCTTATTATAGATTTGCACTAAAGTTTTAACTAATACTAATTATTAATATTCTTTTATTTATATATAAATATGGTATAGAGCTGCTTTGAAATATAATTTAGAATGCTCTTGTAAAAATTCAATAAAGGTAATTTTAAATTTAAAAAATAAAAAAGCTTTGCATATGTTAGACAATTTGAAAGCAATTTGGTATTTGATATAGTTAAATGTTTTTTCTAATCAATATTATAAAATTGTCATTTGTAAATATTAAAGAATTTTCAAATCAGGCTTTGAATTCTGATAGATGATTTTTTAAGAATGAAATTTGAAAGGTTTGAAGAAATTATTTTTTAGGAATATTAAAAGAAATGTTAATATTGAATTTGTTATCATATTAAATTTTAAAGAGTAGTTGATTAATATTGTTTTTACTGAAATTGTAATATAATTTAAAATAAATAAGATAAAGTTTAAGATCTTCATAAAACTTTTTTTTATAAATAGTTTTATATTTATTATAAGAATAAGATATGAGTTAAATTAAAGACTACTTGTTTTTGATTAATAGTAGTATATAGAGAAATGAAGTTTAAAAAGCAAAATTTTTAGATAGTTCAATTAAGTAAATAGAGTTGTAATAAATTTTTGAAAAAGAGAGATTAAGGTAGAATGAATTAATTCAAATAGGATAGATATTAATTTGCCAATTGAAGGATTTGCTTCATAGATAAAATCAGTTAAAAATTTAGATCTTTTGTTTGCCAAGATTTTAATTAAATATTTGTAGTTAATTTTTGATTTAGAACTTGTATCAGATGCTAGTTGAATAATTTTTTCTAGATAAATGTTAATAAGATATAATTTAATGAAAGTGAATAATTGTTGAGCAATTGGATTATTAAGTTTAGTATTGTTTTTCATAGTATTAATTACTAAATATTCTTTAAACTAGTCAAAATCATTGCTAGTATCTCTTTGAGTTTCTTTCTTCTTTTGTTTTTATTGTTTGGAATACTGGTGTTTTTTGTTTTTCTTTAAAAAGCAGAATTTGAGAAATTGGATTTTTTTATTAAATTTCATTTGTTGGATTTTAATAAAAGCAAGAATAAGTTGTTGTTTAAAAATAAGAGGAGGAATAATTTGTTTTTTAGAGTTAGAAGAGAAGGTTTAGGTGTTTAAGCTAATTAGTTTGGATCTGATTGATGTTATAATTATTTGTTATTGGAATATAAAAAGAAAAGTTTATGCTAATGATTTAAGTTTAATATTAATAAACCAGGAACACAAAGTCTATGAATTAAGTTTTATTTAAAAATTGTACAAATTGCATAGTCAGAAGTATAATTATATTGTTTTGTAGCAATATAAGAAATATTTTTAGCTTTGTATATAATACATGTATGATAGTATTGAGAGTGTACAATGATTGTAAAAGGTGTAGAATCTATTTGAAAACTGGAAAATAGCATATGAGGTTTGGAAAAGATAAATCAAATTATTGTTGTTTTAGAATAGATGATTAAGGTAGTTCATCAAAAATTTTATTAAAATGACCAACAGAGATAGTAAAAGTAGTTTGAGTCATAAGTTGTTCAAGAGAAATAATATAAGGAATTTTGTAAAACCAAAAGTAAAACTAGTATGATATATTTCACAAAGACATGTAGCAATAATAGGTTGTTGAAAGCCTTTAAAATAATGATGTTTTTTAGCATATTACAATTAATTAGATTAATATCTGCTAAACGTATATGCAGAAATTGAGGTTTTTCTTTGACTATTCCTATATCATGGCAATCTTTATATTTATCATAATAGTAATCAATATTATAAAAGTCAGGATCTTTAGTAACTAAAATAGATATAGTTTAAAGTTTGAAAATTAAAAACAGAGTAGATAATAGAAATTTTAAATATAAAAAGATCTAAAAAATATAAGGTGTGACAAGTAAAAGAATATGACAAATAAAAGAATGTGAAAATAAGGAATATGCTGAGTAAGAGGGATATAACAACTAAGAGAATGTAGCAAATAAATAGTACAGGATGTGCAGCCCAAGTGGTTACAATAATTGACATTGAACAAAATTTTATATTAGTTAATTAAATTAAAAATAAAAAAAATTAAAATTTGTATTAAACTAATTAATAGTGTAACTTTTGGTAGTGAGTTACAGATACTAGGCATTCTAGAATACAGGATTCTTTCAAAAAAAAAATTTTTTTTGTAAAAAAAAAACAAAAGTTTTAACAGTTTTTGTCTAAAGTCTTTAAAATTAATCCAATATCGATATATAATATATCATAATGAAGCTCTAAATAAGCTCTGTCTTTGTATTTAAGAAAGTAACTAAAGTTAGCTTAATAAATTATTAAAAAAAATTAAAAAAAGTATATTGTAATTTAATAAATATATCTTATTATATAAAGGTCTGAAAAATACAAAACTAGGCTGCCTATATATAAAATTCTGATGCAAACAATTTTTTTTTTTTTTAGTATTAAAATAACCTTTTTGGTCTTTTGACTTTTATTAATCATTTATTAGTATTATGGTTCAATAAACTACTATAGAAGAGCATACAATTGGCTATATATATAACTTTTCTATAATACCTATTTAAGAAATCTGCCTGAAGTTCTTCATCAATTACTATATCTACCACTTCTGCTTGGATGTTTTATTTTAAACCCTCTGAACTTGTAACCTATGTTAACTTACTAGGTCATACCCAGATACCCAGATTATTAACTCAACATTAGAACTAGTTTATTCTCAAAATAAACCTCCTAGAGCCTTCTGTATCCATTTTTACAATTGATCTAAATATCACTATAGCAGAACTAACACTTGAGATTAGTGCTAATCATTAAACCACTATGCTCTTATAGAGTTTACTTAGACTCCAGCATCTACTTCACAGCATAACTCCAATACTTTAGTATACCTCTGCCTTTTCTTCTGCCTTTTTACCAAACTTCCAATTCAGATAGTCTGTATAGAACTATTACTAGTCCATCAGTATATCAGGTTGGCCTGATATTCTTTTTTTTTGGTTCATTCTGGCAATCTGGTTGGTAATACTACTGAGACTTCCAATTCAGAGGTTCTTGCCTATTCAGTTATTATAACTGGATACTAAATCTTGGTATTCATTTTATCAAGCTATTTTTTACAGTAGAGCTATTGAAATTCAGCTACCTCTTTACTTAGATCTTTTTAAATAAACTTCTTGCTACTCAATTTCAATAGATTTACATAGCTACAAGGACTTATCTAATGTTTGCACCACCTGATTTGTCAGTTTGCATTTCTTCATATAATTCTAACATTGCACAGATGCCTTATAACCTGCCAGTCATACTGATATAACTGACATTACAGATATTCTAACACAATTATTAGTAACAGTTGCCATAATACAAATATTACATAGGTAATTGTTTAAATTTTCACTGTTAATAGAATTTGAACACTTAACTTATTACTTAAGAGGTTGACAACCTGACTACTTCACTAGGTCACCACACCTCTGATGTGAACAATTTTACTTAAGAGGTCAAAGAAGATTTATTTA